TGCCACAGAAACAGCGGTGCCAGAGAAAGATCAAGCCTTCTGGACAATGTCAAGGGTGTGGTGCACTGTGGAACTCCAGCAGGGAAGCCTTTTCAGAACTCTGCCAGGAGGAGGGAAGGGTTTGGAGCCCCTGAAAGTTTAACCCAATGGATCAAGTTCACTCATTTAYTCAGAAAACACAATTGAACACCAAATGTCAGGCCATGTGCTGGGTCCTGCAAATAAAAAGCTAAATGAGTCAAAACTGTCCCCCATGATACATGCCACAATAGAAGTATGTGTCAGGGGYTGGAGATCATGGGCAAGCCAATGTTGGAATACGAATTATAATGGCTCATCAGGGAAGATTCACTAAAAGATGTGGCTCTTGGACTGAACCATGGAGAGCAGCACAAATTGAACGATTAAAAGGTGGGAAGTCAACTCTAAAACAAATACGAGCGTAGCTACCAGGACTGTTCAGAGGTACCCAGCTTCACAACTGTGATTCATATAAAAAAAATCTCTATAGAATCTTTATGTCTGATCCTTAACTTAATCACCTCTGTAAAGTCCCTTTTGCCAGGTTAGGTAATAGATTTCACGGTTCTGAAGATTAGGGTGTGGTCTTCCTTGGTAGACCATTATTTTGCCCACTCCAGGAGACATCCTGGATTCTCTCCCTAATCCCCACATCCTTACCACACCAGCCATTACCAGGTGCTAGCGAGAGACTTCCTCCAAAATCACCCCAATTCCRCCCAGTTCTAATTTCACTACCACTTCCCTGACTCGGGTCACTTTAACACCTCACCTAAATTACTGAGCTGGCTTCCCTAATGGTTTCCCACAGCTACTCTCCGGCCCCCCTGCCCCATCCATTCTCCACACTGCAGCCAGAGTGGCCTTTCTAAAATCACTCCTCTGCTTAAACCTCTCAACCATCTATCTCCCTTTACACCCAGGACCCAATTCAGAATCTTTCACCTGGCCCCTAGGTCTCTTCCTGGGCCCCCCCCACCCCTGCATGCTCATCACCAGCAGGGTCCCCTCAGTTCTTGAAGGCACCACATTCTTCCTTCCTGCTACGGTTTGGAGATGGTCTGAGTATGTTCCCCAGGGGTTCATGTTGAGAGGTAGAGGAGTTGGTTAGGTCACTGGAGGCTCTACCTTTGGAAGGAATTGATGAGATCCTGCTTAGATCTTTGAAAGGATTGTTCTAAGAGGGAGTCTGGTGCCTCCCCATGCTCTGGCTTCTGATCTCACTGTGTGGTCACAGGTACWCCCACCATAATGCCATCTGCAWGAGGTCCCCACCAGAGCCAAGCCCAGGACAATGCCACACTCTCGGACCTCCAGAACTGTGAACTACATAATCCTCCTTTCATTATAAAGTACTCAGCTTCAGGTATTTTGTTACGGACCTGAAAACCAGACGAATACACCTTCTCATACTAAGTGTAAATGTTGTGTTAATATTTATATTTTCTCCTCCCAGAATGCCCCTCCACTCTCTGGCCTGGAAATCACTCTCTCATCTTTCTGGTATTTTCTTAATGTCATTTCTTCCAAGAGGTGGCCCCAACCTAAATTGGGTCCTCCCTCAATAGTTCCATGTTCTTTCCTTCCCAAATTTTTAATATAATTTTAATTTCATGATTATTTACTTAAGGCCCATCTCCCCCAGTGAACAATAAGTTCCATAAGAGTTGATAAAGCATTTGTTTCCTTCCCGACTGAATCACCTGCTACTAACACAGTGCTTGCAYATAATGGATGCTCCTTAACTATTTCTATATAAATAAATGAATGTCACTTAATAGGCAGCATAACTGTAGCCAAAAGCTTCGATTTGCTACTAACTTGACATTCTGAAGAGAATTTTGTAAGAACGGTGCTTATGCTTTTTTTTTTGGAGAGGAATTTGGGGGTTGAGTTTTATTTTTCTACCTGATCCTAGGATAATTATATGCACTGAAAAGTTCGACACAATGAGTCACCAGGCCCATTCTGGGCTTTATTCATCCCGTTTTATGGTATTTATCCTTTAGCAGTTCTTTTCCTCAGTTTCTTCATATTTAAAAAGGGTGAGGGACCCTCCCCTGAATTTCCAGCTTCCTTGTAAGGGTCAAATGAGATGATATACAAGAATTCCTTTTRGAAGTGGTAAAGCACACGATTAATGTAAAGCAATCTTATCTTTATATTCACCGCACTCTGGAACCTCAGAAAAAGATCATTGTTGAGTGAGTGTCAGTGGTTTAATCATTTCCAGCTGAGGGCACACAGGATCCAGGCTGATAGGGAGGTTCCAACCCAAGCACCTGAGCAGCAATACTCATTTGAAGGTGAACGTTGCCCCCTGGTGGAAATAGAGGGTAGAGACACACTCCACAGCCSGGAATTACCAGGGGTCCTGATAGATGCTGAATGTAAAGAATTGACTATTTAGAATGACTTTAAAAGCTAACAGCTTGTTTTCTTTCTATTTTATGCTGTTTTATTTATTTTGCATTGACAAATAAAAATTGTATGTGTTTACAGTCTACAACAGAATCTCTTGAAATATGTATACATTTTGAAGTGGCTCAAACAATTAACATCATCATTTTTTTATAGTGAGGACTCAAAATCTATTCTGTTCTTTTAGCAATATTTAAGTATAAAATACATTGTTCTTTTCTTTTTGTTGTGAAATGTTCTTCTGGAAACACTTTATTTACATATGAAAATGCAGATGTGCTAAACCAATTAGTTGTCTGGTTATTATTTAATAAGTAATTATAAACAATTAGCAATAGATAATAATAAAGAGTAGTAAAAATAAATGAGTTACTTAATAGACACCAAAGATATTTTACGATTCTCTCTATTGGTTAATACACTGATTCTTTAATATTTCAACTTCAACAATTCAAAGAAAAATTTTATAATTCATATAATATGTTGACTAAGAAAGGCAATTAAAAAATAGATATTCATATTAACATGCATGATAGAGTAATTATTTATATCTAAAATAGGCTCCTCATGTGGCCAGAATCTCAAGGTCACCTTGAACATCACCAGCTTTCACCTGGGAATGTGCCTCATGGCCCTGAATAAATTGTTTAGTATTTATCATCTGCAAATAAGGGGCTGAATTAAGTGATGTCTAAGGCTCTTTGCAACTTTACAAATATCCTACAACATTGCCTAGACTCTGCATTTAAAGGCTATGCCAATGCTGCCCACAGCACCAGCTGACCAACTTTAGGCTGCTTAGAGCAACACTGTTCCCAGAGATACTCCTGACTGTCCTTGTGATAACACAACTACATACCTTTCTTCCCTACCTGAGTCTGAAGCTCAGAAAGCAAAGCCACCCCAAGCACTTACCCCTGCATCATGTGGTTATCTCCCTTCCCCTTTTGCCCACCATATTGTGAGGTGGCCAAGAGGATACTTGTTAGAGGATACCCACTAGACTTTCAACTTTCAAAACTGTGAGCTAAATAAACCTCTTTTCTTTCTAAACTACCCAGCCTCAGCAACTTTGACACAACAACAGAAAATGGACTAATACAGMAACCTGTCTTCCTTCACCTTTATCAATCTCTTACTCACAATCTTGCCTGCTACATGACCTCATAATGATGCCCAATCACTTAACCTGTCTTTTCCCTCAGACTCTCTCTGGTGTCACTTTCTTCTTTCTATATGATCACATAGCCATTTTCTCAGGATTAGAAACTTCTCTGGCACTCTTTTCTTTTTTCTTCTAAACCCGCTTCAAATTGCCAAACCCACATCAGTCTGATACATCATCCTCTCTATTCCTTCACCAAGATTACTTCCACATATGAAGCTGAATGTCAACACAAATGAGATCTCGACCCTCTCATACTCYATGACAATCCCTCACTCACCACTGATCAGGTATTTTCCCAGATCAGTGGACTTATTCTGAACATTCGCTCTTCCTATCAGTCATCTTTGGGACATCCCACCAAACCCTTGAACCCAGTTGATCCAAGACTAAACTTAGTGTCTTCACCCCACCCCAGAATTAATATTATGAGTTCTCAGCATCTGAAATCAATTACTAAAAGGAGTCCCCAACCTCCCTTTGTCCTTACTCTCCAAGGTCATTGGAAGCCCATATTCTCCCAACTCTATCTTCCCCCCAACCCCACTGCCTCCATCCTCCCCACCTGGACCATTGCTCTAACCTTGTCATAAGCCTTCTTTTAATCCAGCCTGGTCACATCATCCTCTGCTTTTCCCTTAGTCTCTATTCCAATCTCTTTAGATGAACACAGAAGACTAAACGCAATCCAGCCCCTGTCTAGACCTGACAACAGATTCTGACTCCGATAACAGCCTTTTCCTTTCTGCACTTATTTAGCACCAGGTCTTTTGTTTTTGTGTTTAACACACAGCACCAAGCAGGTACTCATATATGTTAAATAAAGGAACAGGTCCACATTTGTGTCACAGTTCAAGGTAATAAATAGATGCTGTGTGTGTGTGTGTGTGTGTGTGTGTTAACACACTTTGAGGGGGAGGAATGAAATATCTGTGACTGTAGTTAATATCCTTCATACATCTCAGTGGTAATTGAGACCCTACTGCAGCTGAGGGTGCCCTCTCCTGATCTTACTTACCTTTTAACATTTGATCACACCCTTCACTAGATAATGATGGCATATTCCTAGGATCCAGATGAAAGTAAAGGATGACTCACTCAAAATTAGAAGCTAAAATAATGAAGTTAATATAGAACAAACCCTATTTTGGGTGAGATAAATATCCTGGAGCAACACCCAGAGATGTTAGACATTAATTATTTTTTTAATCATCCAATTATACGTAATTTCGTGCTAATCTAAATGATGCCATTTTTTCTTTTGGCAGACATAACTCACATGGAAACAGCCCCCATGACTGTATATAAAAGCTCAAAGAAACCATCRGGCGCCCGGTCCACATTCTGTTCTTCGACGGTTGCCCACAGCAGAGGCCACGTTTGCCCTGACACCATGTCGCTCCGGTTTTCTGGCGGGTCCAGGCGCTCTTGCTTGCAGTCTGGAGCTGGGTCTGTCAGACCACCCAGCGGAGGTGTGGCAGGTGGCAGTGCAGGCGGCAGCTCCGTGGCTGGCGGTGGATTTTCCTGTGCCCTGGGGATCCCCAATGTTGGGAGCCATGCGGGAGGCGCCCTTGGAAACACTGCTGGAAATGAACGAGGACTCCTCTCGGGGAACGAAAAGGTGACCATGCAAAATCTCAACGACCGCCTGGCATCCTACCTGGATAACGTGCGGGCTCTGGAGGAGGCAAATGCTGAACTGGAGAGAAAGATCAAGAGTTGGTATGAAAAATACGGACCTGGGTCTTGCCGTGGACTTGATCATGACTACAGCAGATATCACCTGACGATCGAGGATCTGAAAAATAAGGTGAGAAATCAGAAGTTGGAACTAGTCAACGTATTTCAAAGTAAGAAATTCCTAGCAAAAAAGAAATATCTTGTTGTAGTTAAGAAATGCTCATGCCTGGGCACGGTGGCCCACGCCTCTAATCCCAGCGACTCCGGAGGCTGAGGCAGGGTTTGCAAGTTCGAGACCRGCCTCAGCAATTTAGGGAAGCTCTAGGCAACTTAGCGAGACCCTGTCTCAAAAAAATATGAAAGGAGGAAGGGACTGGGGATGTGGGTCAGTAGTTAAGTGCTCCTGGGTTCAATTCCCAGTTTAAAAAAAGAAAGAAAGAAATGCTTCATGGCTGTACTTGTATTATTTTTACTTATTTAAATATATGATTCTTCTCATGACTCAAAAATACACACTTTGATTCGTAAATTTCCACATATCTATAATGTTCTTAGTTCTGTTCATTCTGAAATATATTCATACACTTCTTGTATTATATTCTGAAAGTTATATGAATGAAAATAAATGAAAACATATGTTAATTAAGTTTTAAATGCTTTGATTATGACATAAGGAAGGAAGCTTTTATGCAAAAGTTACTTGGGTAATTTTTATTTCCTGAAATAATTACTAATAAGAGTACACCTACTTACTGTGGTCTCCCTTTTGATTTCTTCTAGATTATCTCTTCCACTGCTGCTAATGCTAATGTCATTCTGCAGATAGATAATGCCAGACTGGCTGCTGATGACTTCCGACTAAAGTAAGTGATAGAAAACAATCATGCTCTGGGAAAAGTTTCCTATCTATTTAAGTTGTCAAATAGAATTTTGATTTCACCCCAAGTAGAATAAACTATAACCCAAAAGATTCAAGGAAGCAAATGATTTACATTACATGACAATAAACTATACTCATAATTTATATATATTTATTACATTCTTCAAACAAAATATCTAGACATGACTTTGCCTGCCTAGAGTAGTGCCAAGGACAAAGTAGAGAGCCAGTAACAATTTGCCAACTAGGCAAAAGGGTAAACTAAAATAAAATTTCAAAATGATATATTTTTTTCTGATTGGAATATGGTATTGGAATTTGTGTGATTGAGTAACTGCTGGTTATCCTGTACAGAATTGAGAGGCAAGATAGAAGACTTCTTTCTCTGTATATTTTTTATAATATTTAGAGCGCTAATTCAGCWTTTAATTTTCAGTTTCAGTCAATTAAGGTTTTCTTCTCCCATTTCTTGAAGTAGTCTAACTTATACTGAAATAAATACCCACCCCCAAGGTATGAAAACGAGCTCACCCTTCACCAAAACGTAGAGGCAGACATCAACGGGTTAAGGCGGGTTCTGGACGAGCTGACGCTTTGCAGGACCGACCAGGAGCTGCAGTATGAATCTCTGAGTGAGGAGATGACCTACCTCAAGAAGAACCACGAAGAGGTAGGAGAAGCTTCGMTTCTGGTTAAATCAGAATTCTGTACATTTAAAACATTTGGTGGGAGGGGTGTTAAAATGATAATAGTGATTCATGCTCATTGTAATCATTCATTCACACCAAAGCATATAAAGGAAGATTTCATTTCTCCTAATCTGCTACTCTAATCCCATTCCTGGAGGTTATAAATATTAACAAKTAATCTGTACCCTTCCACTTTTCAGATTGATACAATTCTATCCATTTGAAAATAACACATTACTTATGCATGAATATAACCATCTTTCTTTGTATTCGATTATTTATTTCATCTACTTAAGCCTACCTTGAGGTCACTTTTCTCATATAGGACCTCTCTGACTAGGAAAAGATGTTTTTCTTCCTTCCTTCCTTTTTATTTATTTTATTTTTTTTTTTTTTGTACCAGGAATTAAACCCAGAAGCACTTAACCACSGAGCCATATCCCCAGACCTTTTTATTTTCGAGACAGTCTTGCTGAGTTGCTTAGGGCCTTGCTAAGCTATTAAGGCTGGCTTTGAACTTGTGATCCTCCTGCCTTAGCCTCCTGAGCCTCTGGGATTATAGGCATATACCACTGCACCAAGCTATTTTTTCTTTTTGTATTTAATGARCCTGGATTTACTTCAATATCGAGGACTGCACAATAATAAACCCTTATTTAACATGAAATACCACGAAATTTCGATCCCCTCCCCACCTCCCAAAAAAAGAGATTGTTTCAGAAGTAATTGAAAAAATCTCTGAAAAAAATGGTTGACAAATTTTCAGAAACCCCTCTTGACAGGAGGTACTCCATTAATGGTTTAAAAGAGCCAAAACATCAAGTCTACCTGTCCCACATGGGAACATTATGGAAAAGAGAAAAGGGAAGGAAAATTTTAAAAGAAAAWAAACTATTTATTTATTWATTTTAGTTATAGTTGGACACAATACCTCTATTTTATTTATTTTTATGTGGTGCTAAGGATCGAATCCAGTGCCTCACACATGCTAGGCAAGCACTCTGCCACTGAGCCATAGCCCCAGCCCCAAGAAAAAAAACTTTTTTTTTTAAAGAGCCAGGGAAAAGTTGGACCACCAGAGAGTGTTGGCAGGACAGCCAAGAGATCATGCCCTGTAGTGACCTCAAAAAAGTAAATCCTGGGTTGGGGTTACCGCTCAGCGGTAGAGCRCTTGCCTAGCATGAGTGAGGCATTGGGTTGGATCCCCTGCACCAATTAAAAAAAACTAATTAAACAAAATAAAGGTAAAAGAAAGAAAAGAAAATCATGGGGAAGGAAGGGAAGAAATGACAACCTCAGCCAACCAGCCAACAGGGGACATTCCCTGGAAGGGTAAGTTCACAGCAGGATTCATTGGCCCCAAAGATAAGATACACCTACTGAAAAAGGGTGCCTTTGAAAGCACGGAGTGTAGAACTTCAAGCAACTCAATTTTCAAATTTTTAGAGCAACAAGAATTTTTTTCTTCACCACAGAATCTTACTCAAAATATGAAAATAGATTAATAGTGGTTTTCTTGATCAATGCACTGAAGGTCATAGATTTAGAGTCATAAAAAAATGGCTTAAGGAAGCAGGGATATCAGTCCTTCAAATGAAAAGGTCAGCCACCCAAAGAACTAAGTTCAGGCCATTGGTTTGTTTCTCTGTTCAGAAACCCTTTCTCTGACTTTATCAGGCAGATTAATGATCTGCCCCGTGATTTATCCTGGAACAGAGAGGCTGTCCTGTACAGTTGCTCAGAACAGATACTCAGGAGCCAGAGTGCCATCTTCAAACTGCCCTCTTTCAAATCCTGGTGACTCAGGCGTGTTATTTCACCTCTTTGTGCCTCAGTTTCCTATCTATAAAATGATAATATTAGTAGTAGTAGTAGTAGTACCTACCTTAGAGGGATGATGAAAGTCTTGAATCAGTACACATGAAGACAGTGCGTAAAACAGTGCCTGGCATATAATAATCATTCAATAAATAATTGCTGCTGTCCCTAAGATGAAAGTTCCAAGGACTCGGATTTTTTTTTTTTTTTCCCCACTTTATTTCTATCAACCATGAAGTCAACGATTATGTGGTGAATGGCTCTCTGGTCTTTGTAGTACCTTCTCATGGAAAAAAATGAAAAACGTCCGCTTTGCGCGGAGGTGGTGGTCATGGTTGATTTAATGAACAAATAACTAATTAAATAGATGGCTGGCATAAACATGGGTGGAATAAGCCGATTCCTATTTGGGGGACCTAAAGTAACGCCTCTCAGAACTCTCCTCGGGCTGCCTGTGAGCACCCTCGCGTTCCCCTCTAGGAAATGCAGGCTCTGCAGTGCGCCGCGGGAGGCAACGTGAACGTGGAGATGAACGCYGCCCCCGGGGTGGACCTCACGGTGCTGCTGGGCAACATGCGAGCCGAGTACGAGGCCCTGGCTGAGCAGAACCGCAGGGACGCCGAGGCCTGGTTCCAGGAGAAGGTGAGGTCAGCGCCCCCGGGCCACCCACACCACCCTGGCGAGTGCGGACTTCGTGTGACCCTCCGCGCCCCTGCCTTCCAGAGCGCCACGCTGCAGCAGCAGATCTTCGACGACGCTGGGGCAGCCACCTCCGCCAGGACCGAGCTGACGGAGATGAAGCGCACCCTGCAGACGCTGGAGATCGAGCTGCAGTCCCTCCTGGCAACGGTAGGTGCGAGCGCAGGTCAGCCTGATTCCAAAAAGCCCCAAGAGTGGCCTGTCCCTTCGTCCCTGCAACAGCTCCACCCGCAAATAGAGTGGGAAAGAACAGGAAAAATGGCCCCCCAAGAAAAAGTGCGTTGTCTTCCTCTCTGACTTTATTGAGGTTCCCCTGCGGGCCGGTGCTCAGAGCTCATTTCATGGAAATAACCAACTTGTGGCAGAGTTCCCACCTTAGGGTAATTCATCAGCCCCTCAGAGCAAGTACCAGCATTATCGCTCCATCTGAAAATTAAGTGACAGGTCACTCCGTCACATAGGGCAAAGCTAGTTCATACCAGCATCTCCTAATATCGATGAAGACATATTAAAAGACACGTTGTGGTTTTCACCAGGCAAAGGAAAAGAGGGTACGTACCTGCACTCCACATGGGCACTCTCAGAACCATCCTTCCCACATTCCTGGGCAGAGGTCCCATCCCAGAGCACACACCTAGTAGAACTGGGCAGTCGGCCACTTCAGCAYATACTAGGGTACCTGGATTGCTTCAGAGATTACCACGGAGACAATTTAGAACTAAAGCCCACTTCACTTCTGAATTGTGAGTTGGCAGCACCCAAAAGCCTTGATTTTGAGAATTATGGCACATGTGGCCTATGAATTCCATCTTCACAAGAGGTTTTCTGCTCCCTGAGGATATCAGGTTGTAATATAAAGACAAGAACAGCTACCATAGAGATGARCTCAGTGAGACAGAAGGAAAAAGATAACTCAAAACAATAGGAAAGGTCTTGAGCTGGGGGTGTAGCTCAGTGGCAGAGCACTTGCCTAGCATGCACAAGGACCTGAGTTCCATCCCCAGCACCAAAATAAATAAATAATAAGTAAATATTAAAATGAGGAGTTTTTATTTAACCATTCTAAAAAAAAAAAAAACGCCATACTCTCTTACTTTATAATATTTAGGAGAGACTTGTTGTTACCACTACCCAACCCCAAGTTTAACCAGCATGTCCCTCTTACCCCCTTACCACTGCTGCTAGCTGGTTCCTCAGCCCCTCCCTGCCACTTTGGGTTTCCAGAACCTTTCTCTCCGCATTCCCCTTTCCCCTCAAACTAGAGCTCTGAGGACCCTGCTCCTGCTACAGTAGCCTCATGAATTTCTGTTTCAGGAAATAAATTCCTGAGCCCCCAGATCAGAATTTAAAGTATCTGCACCCAAGAAGCTATGATATTTCAGAGCAGTTAGATTCTGTGCAACCCATAGTACTATAGCTTGGGGTCATGAGAGAATCCTCCCAAGAAAGCCCATTTAACATCCAACACCACTGAATTATAGAATAATGGTGGCATAGAACCTAACTTCCCTTCCTTTTCACCTAAGATAAAAATCTAAGTGCAGCACAAGACCCTGGGTTCGATCCCCAGCACCACCAAAAAAAAAAAAAAAAAAAAAAAAAAAATCTAAGTGCAATTTCCTATAGTTAGACAACGTAAGTCAATTGTGAGTTGGGAACTGTCTTGATCTATTGACATTCACATTGCTTCCTGCAGTATGCAGACTCCCAAGTTCATCCTGCCTACTTTCCTCACGATAGGCCAGCCTTTACAGTGGAAAGCTGTGACATATGTAGAGTTGTTGTCTCCTCTAACTTATGAGAGCATTAGCAAACTWAAAAAAGAGTGCCTTATGAGGACACACCTTTGGGGAAATTAAGGTTTTAAACTGCTGAGCTTTGAAATTACCTCACTTCACCAGAATCTTGCCACTTGCTAACTGAACTTCCCCTATACCATCCTGATTAGCTTCCACCCAAACGCTCCTGAAGAGTCCAGGACCCCCCGACCTGACCAGCCTAATTCCTGGTCAGCCCACTCGGTTTCCTAAGTTAGTACCATTTGGGCCTATGTCTGCTACCATGATGAATATTTTACATCTACCTCTTTGCAATCCTAAAACAAAATCAATACATAATATTGATTATACATAATATTTAGCAATGCACAAAATTATTTCTAAGACTAGTGCCACCATCACAATTAAAAGGAAAAAAGAAAAGTATTTTTAAACTTGGGCCCAAYCACCCCAGAAAATGTCAGACAGAGCCTTGCATCTTCTTTTAATAAATGTTTTATTTTTAGCAATATAAGAACAGGAGTCACTCCACACAAGAAAAAAAAAAAAAAGAAAATAAAAGAGTAGAAGAGGGGCGGTAGATATTCTGATAATAATGAATATCAGAAAGAAGTAATGACTGCCCAGTCATATTTCTACATGATAAAGGAAAGAGGGAAATTACCTTAATTGAAGTAAAGATCACATGCCAAGACAAATTACAGACTATGGGAGTAGAAGAGAGGAAGTATAGTATTCATAAGAGTAGGGTCGAGATAATGGCCTGTACTGTGTTGTGAAATGCACTTCTGGCTTTGAAAACCCACTCAGTAAGGTGTTTGTTCCGTCTCATGTGTGTCCATCCTTTGGTGGATGACAGAAAGTCAAGGATGGATTAGAAAAGGAAACCATAGCACAGTGGGCCTCGGAATACGATAGGGACACAGCAGAGTGAAATTGAAATACAACAGGCAACCCAAAAATAAATATGTAACTTCAAAAAGACAAATGTTATTTGATTTCATATTGATTTCTTACTGTACTACTCCCAAAAGTACTTTCATATGTAGATTGATCCTAATAGGAAGTATTACCTAAATACCATGAATATCTAGTGGGTCATTCAGAAGTCTAGTGGGGAAAGGGTTGCTTATTCCCTGTCAGGTCATCCAGCAGACCTGTCCCCACCCCAGCCTCCAACTCCCGTTTGATTATGACAAGCCCCACACATTTCCAAAACTTTGCCCAGGGAACAGTCCTGCTGGTTGCTGAGAAACATGGTACTACATAGTCCTCAGGGTGGTTTCATCCTTTGCTTTGTATCTTTGATGTCCTCAGAAACGCTCCCTGGAGTGCTCCTTGACAGAGACTGAGGGCAACTACTGCACGCAGCTGGCACAAATCCAGGCTCAGATCGGGGCCCTGGAGGAGCAGCTGCACCAGGTCAGGACTGAGACCGAGGGCCAGAAACTGGAGTATGAGCAGCTCCTAGACATCAAGGTCCACCTGGAGAAGGAAATTGAGACCTACTGCCGCCTGATAGATGGAGATGGAAAGTAAGTAAAACCATTGGAAAGTTCCACACTGCCCCTTAGCCTTCCACACATCCAAGCCTTTTTTTTATTCCCACTGTACAAAAGCATGTCCATTTCTTGCCTCAGGGGTCCTCTGCATACCTTGTACATTATAGYATCCTCCTCATCTGCCTTGGAGGATTCCACGTGTCCCACACAACTTCCCATTCATTGTACTTTTAATCATTGCAGGTTTCAAGATTCTCCCCAACCCCCAATCCCAGGCTTCATCCTTCCTTCAGTTCATTCCTAATATCACTGCTGCCCTAAAACAAATGCACTCCCAGGATCCATATATATGTAAATATGTGGATCCTGGGGGAGTATATATATTTATCTTAAACTCTTGGATTTAAAAAAAATGGAATGGTTTTTAAAATTGGCCTCTCCTTAGATAATATTTAATTACTTTCAGCTCCTGCTTAATATTTTCTCCATAGAAAATTAAGATCTGTTTTTGTCATACAAAGTTCACTCGAGCTCACTGATTCAGTGAATATTTCTTATGTAATAGTAAACAAAAATATAAAAGAATAAACTTTTTTTTGGCAGTTCATGCTCCAAATCAATAAGCTTTGGATCAGAAAATTCAGGAAATTCATCTAAAGGTAATAAAATCTAATTCTGTTTCTGTTGCAGTAAATACTTTTGCATTAAAGATAGTCATATATGGCCGGCCACAGTGGCACACGCCTGTAATCCCAGCAGCTCAGAGGCTGAGGCAGGAGGATCATGAGTTCAAAGCCAGCCTCAGCAATGGCAAGGCACTAAGCAACTCAGTGAGACCCTGTCTCTAAATCAAATACAAAATAGGGCTAGGAATGTGGCTCAGAGGTTCAGTGCCCCTGAGTTCAATCCCTGGTACCTGCCTCCCAAAACAGATGTCATATGCTATGGCAACTGTCTATAATTAAATAATTCTAACAAAAGTGCTCTGAATTGAAAGTATTGGTTTTAGTTTTATCCAGCTATCTCAAATTATTATTATAAATCTTTACTTACTCCTCACTAAATAAAAATGTACATGATGTTTTATATTACAACCAACAATGGAATTCTTTGTCATATAGTCTTTTAAGCTGAATATATGAATTCACATATGTTTTATTTCTAGATTTAGCCAAAACCACACTGGTAAAGACGGTGGTGGAAGAGATAGATCAACGTGGTAAAGTTCTTTCATCCAGAATTCACTCCATTGAGGAAAAGACATCTAAAATAGTCAATGGCAAGACAGAACAAAGGGTTCCCTTCTAGCTCTCATTTTAGAGAAAAAAATAATATTTTGAGAAAAGATCTGGCACCACTGAATTATTTTAAATATGAGAGAGAAATAGAAAACACTTTCTACTCTTAAAGTTCCTTAGCAAAAATACCTGTTTTCTTAATAACCTTTTCAGGTTGTTGGGTGTTTGGTTTCAAATAAATAAAAAAGTTGATGTGCACACATTTCTGTTTTTTGAAGACTAATAAATAATTAGTTGTGATTTTTTTCCTTAGGGAGATATTTATGGACTCAATTTTTAACTAAATTTCACTTGAGTTTTAATAACAGTTGGTACCAGCACTTGAAATTAAGTATTAAACATTCACTAGGCATAATCGTGAAAGCCCAAGTGTCTGCACAGGSAAAGAGTCTGGGAAAACTCAGGAATTCTGCAACTGAAAAGTCCACCTCTAGATGGCGCATGCACAGCATTTTACCAATCGCCTATCTCCAGCCCTTTTGGGGCCACTGGATACTCCCTAGGACAGGTTCCTCATTTAAACAGGAACGTCTCAAAAAGATCCACAGTCATTAGCCTCATGTTAATGACTTTTTTCCTAAAGCAGATTGGAAGCTTTTTCTATGAAGGCCCAGCTAGTAAATCTTTTAGATTTTGCAATCATAGAGTTTCTCTGTTCAATATTCAACTTGGTCATTGTAACAGGAAGCAGCCACAGACAAAAAGGAACAAGACTGCCTTCCAACAAAACTCTGGAATATGAATTGCAAATAATATTTTATGTGTCAAGAAATATTGTAAATTTTGATTTTTTTCGAAAACTTAAGAATGTAAAAACCATGTTTAACCCAAGGGCTGTATAAAATCACAAGGCAGGTCAGATTTAATCCACCAACACCCATTCTAGAATTCCAAGTCTCAAAGGGTTGATGAACTTTCTGGCTATTGTGTATTTCTACCTTAGGAAAGCAGCTTTTTTATTTCTCTACTATATGGTCTGATTCCAATGCAAAGCTCCACTGAGAGCTGTTTTTCTACCCAACAACCCAAGAGTCACGTGGAAGTTCCAAGAAGTGGTGCAAAGCACAGGATTACAAACTCTTCCACCAAAAGTCATCAAAGAATGCAAAAACTAGAAATTCATGAGGAAATGACTTTCCAAATGTACAATGTATAGGGCCAGCTACTTATTTACAGGCTTCGGTGTTAAATGAAAATGTGAGGTCCCTTGTTCAAAACTCAGATTTTAAAAAATGTCATTAAAGGTATTAAAATAGAATGTTTTTTCCCTTCTACTGAAGCTGCATTCTCAACTTGTGCTGGGTTTTTGTTGTTTTGTTTTTGGATCTTTTCTTTTTAAACTATTTAATGTCATTCTAAGTAAAAATAAAATAAAATTTTAAGTTGTTGCATACCTTTTAACACTCATTTTTATATTATGCAATCAATGCCAACTTTAAATCCAACCCTAAGAACATTTAACTTGTACACAGAACACTGAAATTACCCAATTCCTATCTTGTTGCTCATATATGCAAATGTATTTTTGTTTTCCCCAAAACAGTGGGAACACTACTCAAAACAAACTTAACCATTTTTGTTTTGTTTTGTTTTGCCATACTGGGGATTGAACCGGGGCCTTGCACACGCTAGGCAAGCATTCTACCCTTGAGATACACCTACAGCTCTATTCTACTTCTTTATATATGCACATTCTACCAACATTCTCTACCCTTGAYTTACTGATGAGTAAGAAAAGACTGAAAGCAAAAGGAACTCTGGGTTGACACATTATTTTCAGCATACGTGTTTGGCCAGTACAAGAAAGTAAAGGTGCCATGGTAGAGTTCCTGGGTCATTCATGGTTCTTGGGAACGCCATCACCTTCTGCATTTGAAGCAAGTGCTGGTTTGCATGAAAAGCCTGGCATCTTGGAGTTGTCAGAGACCTGGCTCACTTAGCCAGAGTTGGCACGTACTGATTTTATACTCACTTTGTGTATTGCTGGACCCCTGTGCATCGCAGGTCCACCAGAATGCAACGCACACTGGCATTGCACGCACTATACACCACAGAGGCAATAAGGACCAACTGCATGTACACATACCTCGCATACTCCTCTGCTCACTCACATGCCTCATGGGTCTCATCAGAATTCACTTACAAGACACAAGTCCCAAAATAGAATTATTAAGAATTTCAAGATGGGCACAGAGAGCATTAATCCAAGTGTGGGGGTCTGCTGAACAAAAGATCCTGTGCGACTACACAAGCTTCAGACCCTCAAAGCCATCCCTGCTCATCGTGTATGCTCATAACTGGTTGATTTTTTAAGACACTGTCTTCGTGGTGATCTGTTTTCCACAGCAGGGCCCCGTAGAGTACTTTGTAGTCAGGTTGCTGTCGATGTGAAAAGACTTATAAGGAAAACAACTCCCATGCAACATTTCTTGCCAGAAATCCCTGTGTATCTATTCAGCAAAGGAATGAATGTAGAATTAAATTCAGGTGAATTTCTTTTAAATTCTGTTGGGTTCACAGGTTGGAAGGAAACATCTGGTCCTCAAGCTGTAGTCTTAAATCTGCCCTTCCTTCCTAGGAGTGTGAGAACTGACCATGGCCTTCAGTTCTATGATTTTGCTTTGCAGAATTCCAGGGCTCCCTGAGTTCCCTAGGTGTTCCCTAATGACTTTGTATTTTTCTCTGGTGCTTGAAGGTGCATGCTGCTTTTTGCTATATCGGGTTTCTGAACTGGCAGGAATTCCAAGAAATCGGTCTCCATGTGAAAGAGAGGCAATTGAACCACTGTGCCGGGGTAGTTAATTGTTAAAGCGGCAATCACAATCTGCCATTCCTTATTTTAACAAACACCCAAAATTTGTGGGAGCTCTTTGCAAGGAAGTAAATTACCACTTCCTGTAAATAACTCCCTTGGGATAATACATGGTATCTAATATACTATCAAACAGTATTTACTGATAGTTTATTTAAAATTATGTATTTCCAGAATATGATTTTTTTCTTCTGGGGACTCACTTCCCCTAAACTTCCCATTTCCTATGATTATATCTTACTTAGTTTAATGATTTTTTTTCCTTTTATTTCTAATTCTTTTCTAAATTCTGTCACCTCACCTCTAAGATTTACGTTGCTGCCCTTTTTCTTCCCCCTCCCCCTCCTTCTCCTGTCATTTTAAAAAATATTTTTAGTTGTAGATGGACACAATACTTTTATTTATTTTTATGTGGTGCTGAGGAATGAACCCAGTGCCTCACACGTGCAAGGCACGTGCTCTCCCACTGAGCTACAGTCTCAGCCCTCCTTTGTTCATTTTTATAGGCAATTCATGTTCTTTAACTTCTAAAGTGAGTCACAATTCCAAATAGATCTTCTAACCTTCTAATTCCCGAAGCTCCTGTTTCTTATTTAAACCTAGAATTCAAAACCACGTTGGCTTGATTTCTGAAACTTCCCATCTCCCCTCCCCCGACTTGTCCCTGGATCCTCTGTCTCCTCCCTCTCTAGGATCCTATCTTGATCAGTGGGATCCCTCTCCCAGCATTTTCTCCTTATCATGGACTATTCCTCTGGTGAGAAGCCGTGACTGATCACTTTTGAGAACTCACCGAGCCTAGACGGCTTCACTTTCTTCTGACCTCCTGGAAGAATCTTTTCACTCACCAGGGGTGAGCAGAACTCTCCCTGCACCCCCTGCTCTTCTCAAATTCACCTGCTACAATTTTTAGTTGGCTTTTTGGAATTCTCCCATAATCAGATTCTTCAGATGCCTCTGGATTCCTTCCGGGTCCCACAGAAATGCTTATAATAYGCAGGTCTCGTAGTTGATGGTAGTTCGTTCTACCAGCTTACACGTTGAGGTTCATGATAACACATCGCCATCTAGATTTGTTGTAAATATTGTACCTGGTCTTTGATTTGAGGAGATGATCGTTCTACAGGATTTTCATGTGGGGCTTCAAAAACTCTGCCACCATTGCTACCATTTCCCAGAATTTGTGAAAGATACTTTGGGTTGGTATTCAATTTTAATAAATATATTTTCTCAGTATTTTATAGAGATTATTTCAGTGTTTCTAATTTCCAATGTTGCTTGTGGGGAGCTTCTGAAATCTAATCACACTTCCTTTGTAGATGATTTCTAATTTCTCTCTGGCAGCTTTAACATTTTTCTCCCTAGGGGGTTAGGGGGGTAATTCTGTGGCATAGCACTTGCCCAGAATGTGCAAGGTCCTGGGTTCCATCCCTTATAGTGACACCTTATGGCAAAATAAATAAATAAATAAATTTTCAAAATCTTTCTCTTAACCTCTCTTCTMCCCCGTCCCCACACACACACTTACAATAATATCCTTCTGTCTTTTCTGCTATTCACTTATTTTCTTTTAATCTATCAGCCATTTTAGATATTAAATTTTTATTTTTTTAGATATTAAGTTTTTATTTTTTTAAATAGAGCTGAACTTCTTTGAGAATCACTTGTTAATTGGTAGTGACTCCAGTCCTCTTTCATTTCATATATATTAGAAGCACACTTTTTTGTATATACCATCTTGTAATTTCGTTCTTGTTGGTCTTTTGTGTCTTCAGGCAGAAGTGTTAGTTCTTATTAATTGTATGTGGTTTATTTCTTCATATGTGTATTTTATTTGAAATGTAACTTTGGGAATCCTAAAAGGCCAGGATGTTTTCTTTTAAAAATATTTTATTACTTAAAACCTGAGATAATGGGTTGGGGTTGTGGCTTAGCAGTAGAGCGCTCGCCTAGCATGTGTGAGGCCCTGAGTTCAATCCGCAGCACCACATAAAATAAAGGTTAATAAAAAACTGAGATAAAGATAATAGTGATACATATCTAACAACATAAACTTACAAACTGCAAAAAAAATAATACTTTGATGTCATAAGTTTAGGTAATACAACAAGTTGTCATACTTAATAAGGTAATTTCTTTTTTATTGGAATTTTTCTGGCTTTCTTTGCAAGCTTATTTATTAGGTCTTGAAATTTTAT